CCCCCCCAAAGAAAACCCCACCGAAACAAAAACCCAGCGTATTCTCCAGTTCCATTGCAGTCAGAACAAAAAGTAGTGGGATTCAGTTGTGCCAAGAAGGAGGGATGACAGGTAAGTGGGAAAGATACTGTGATTGTCAGGGTAGGCAGTGGAAATCATTGCTTGAGACTTCAAACACCAGTTTGGACAAACACGCTGGGAGTGACGTGGGCCCGTGGGCCCATTTCAAGGCAGAGATGTTGACTTCTCAGGTCACCACTGTCCCTGGTTTGGCATGATCTGTAATAGCACCGATGGTCCCTGAGAAACAGTTCTTTGTGAACATTAAGTAATTTGAAGTCCCTTTACTAATTCAGGAGTTATGACTTGGGAAGTCGAGGCATACAGTCTAAATGTGTGCAGCTTTTTCAAATACATAGGCTTGACCTGCAAGGGGTGTCAGAGATGATGGCAAGTGTTTGCCCTAATGTGCTGCCCCTAGGAAGCACCAGTTGACAGTATGCCTTATGATACTGGCCAAATAATGTGCTATTCATCTCGACAGTTGACACTTTTTGGTGCAGTGACGTCCTTGAACATATTCCAAGGAAACAAGGAAGCAGAGCATGTGAAACGCACTAAAAAAAAAAAGTGTGATAATAGATAAAATCAACACCGGTGCTGGGCACATCTGTGCCGTGGTGCTGCGTAACAAACCCTCTTCTGTCTGGTTATCTTCTTTTTCTCAGTTTTGAGTTCAGTGTTGAAGTCCTCCTAACAATGGTTTGTTTTGTACTAATGGATTTTAACTCTTCTCAGAGGGCATTGTGCCCTTTATGTGATCAATGAGGAAACTGCTGATACTTCCATATTGTCCAAATACTACACAAATGCTAGTTAGTATGCTCTCTCTCTGCAGAGAGAAATCCTCTTTGGAGGACAGCCACGTACTTTAAGAATGTCTTTCACAATACTGAGTTTCATTGAGGGAGGATGTCCTTTAGTTCCAAGGAAAAGGTCCTTAGTTGTAGTTCTTTTTCCTCCTAACTGCAGTGCTTGGGCTATTTTGGCTGGGGTGTGTGTGATTGCCACTTGTATGAATTTTGTCAAATAATTCCTGTGAGTTGGGAACGAACGTAGAAGTCTGCTCTTTCCTGCAGCTGGGCTGCTACCTGTGTGGGCAGGAGGGTGTGCACTCACTGAGGTTGCTCTGATGGCTCCTGGGGGTCTGCTCTGTAGAGTGGAGAAAGTCATATTTCTAGATCTAGCAGTACTTTTAGGAACATAATTGACAGGGCCAAGCCCACAACTTGGAAGCAGGTTCAGTTCACGTTGAGCTGTTTAATCTTCTCCCCTCAGATGCCTGTTAGTGAAGATTTATAATGTATCTCGTTTTGTCTTGTCATATACTGCCAAGTCATGCTTGCTTGCTTACTTGCTTGGAAGAATTTGAAGTCAATCCTTCCTCCTTGAAAAAACAGGCTTATTTTCTGTCTTCATCACACTCCTCACACTCCTTCCTCCTTGTCCACAAGGCATCTTCGGTCCTTTCCCTCTGTAGCACACCGGTTTTGCGTGTTTGGTCTGGGTCCTGAGATCTTGCCTTGTGAAACTGAATTCTCCATGGTGCAACTGGTAAAGGGGGAAAAATACTTGAACAAGACATGTCTGTAGCAAAAGAAGAAATACTAAATCGCAACCTGTGAGGCTGGGATGCTCCTGGCTGTCATTATGAAGGCCCATGTTTATCCCATCAGACCATACCACCAACGTGTGTGCATGTTGAGGGAGTCTCTCCCCCCTGAAGAAAGTTAATGGGCTAAAAATCAGTGCTTTAAAGAGACCTGGTTTGAGTTGAATGTTTTTGGCCAAAAGCAACACAGTCGTCCTTTTCTGATATCATGTGTTTTAAAGTGCTGGTAACTTTTGCTGCTTCCTGTAATTCTCCACCCGATGTTAGGTATGGATGAGTACATGTTCTAACATAATGTATTTTCTTGCAGCAGAAGGAAATAGTTCAGAGGATTATTTGGAAACAAGGCCTTTGGCACTGCATGTTGTAGTGCTTAGTAATGACTCTTACTGACTAACCTTGATAAAGTTATCTGTGTGTTGAGGCAACTGGTTAATAGCTGATAGAACAAGTGATGTCTGGGGTGATTAATGGCGCTGGAAGGAAATGATAGCATAAAGGTCCACTGGTGACAAGCCACGCCTGCCCCACTGGCAGCCACAGAACTGCAGCCCTTTCTCTTTGCCACTCCGAAATTACTTTTGTGGTTACAAGAACTGGGGTGGTGACTAGGCTTATTCCTTATCTGGTCAGCATGGTCTCACTACAAGGGTGGAAAGTGTCTTAATTTGTGTAGGTGGGCTATGAAACACTGCCTGTTTCAGCAATACGCTATCTTTTAGCGAGCCCAGCGATGACCACTTAAACCCAATGGGGTATGTTATTTCTAAAACATGTGTGTTTCAATGAGACTCTTGGTTATTTCCGTATAGTTAATAAACAAACCACAGAGGTGAATGTAAATACTGATAACTGTTGCTCTTGAGCTCTGTCTGCATGTCATAACAGCTGTGCGTAGATGCTTCGTTGTTTAGGAACATGCTATTCCTTTGTATTACAAAAAAACTCGTCTCAGGTCAGGAGGTTTTACAGGCTGAGGATCCAGCCCTCTCTGCCTGCTGGTGCTGGAGTCTGGTACCAGTGCACCCAGTATGGGCTCTCCCTGCTGCCCCTTGAAGGGCGAGGGGTAGCACTGGGTAATGGCGAGGTTACTCCTGCACAAGTTCATTGGTATGTTTTGTTTCGGAGCAGAGGCCCTGACTGCTCGGAGATGTTTTGGTTGACAGGTCAGCTGAAGAGCGTGAGGCCAGTCAAATAGACCTGAAACCCCCCAGGACCGGAATGATGGTTGTAACAGATGCCTAGAGGAAGTATGCGACGTGGAGCAAATGTGCTCACCTTCCCCTTGGCAGAGCCTCTTGCCTTCTGTCAGTCACTGGTTTTACAGACTGAGCGGCAGCAGTTGTGTCCATGGGACCATGTTTAATAGCCACAGATGGATCTGCTCCACGTAAACCTTCTAATGCATTTCTGAACTTACTTTCATTCCTGACATCACAGAAACGTAAGGATGCTATTCTCTAGTTCTGCTGCAAGTCAAACATGAAAGTTGCTTCTGCTGTGTTGTGAGGGTTTTGTTTTGGTTTTGATTTTGATTTTTTTTAACCTGTATAGGAATAGGCATTACTTGCCTTTAAGTGTATGTTCACGTGTTCATTTTACTAAAACACCCTGGCTCTTGATCAGTGAAAGAAAAATAATTTCAGTGAAGATTTCATAAGAAGTTCAGAAGTCAAAAGTTCTTCCCCAAAGAGAAAAGACTTTCCTGCTAAAAATAAAAAGCTTGCAAAAGAGAGAGGAGGAGCTGAAAGCTGGGTACGGCTTCTACCTTCATCCAGTGCATGCTAATCTGCCATTTACAACCAACAGTGGAGGGGTTTGTGGAACCTAAAACCCCCTTGTAATTGAAGAGAGGATAGTGTCCAGATCCACATTTGCTGTCTGACCAGGTTAAGTGGTGACATCGCAGAGAAGCACTCTCCAAAGTGAGCTGCAAGATTAGTACTGCCATAGTAACAGAAACCCTGTCTCTGTAGCATTTATACCAAATGTACAATTAATTTTCAAATAAAATCTGCAGCCGTCTTTTCTCTGATATTGAGAGCACTGAATTTTTCTGGTCTTTCTGTTGGTTTTCAGTTAATGTTGCCTTTCTGTAGTTTCAAGTATAGCTTTAAGACTTGTTGTCTAAAATAAGTTTTCTTTGCCAGTCTGTCTTTAAGCACAGACTTGTGTGCGCTCAGACCAGCCTCATGGTCTTAGAGTCACTGTGCCATCTGGCACAGGTGCGTGCTGGTAATGTGTCCACTCATGATGTTTCTGTCACATGTGGCTTTAATATTAGTCTCCTGTGAGACAGTCTGGGTAAACCATATTATCAGAGACTCTTTACAAGGCCCCCGGTACGATAGAGCTGTACGTGAAGCTCAGCATTTAGATATCCTTGGTAGCTGGAGAGGTGGGAAGAGGAGGATAGATGGAGCTCGTTCTGAGGTTGCCTGTGGTGCTGCCCTTGTTTTGCTGACAAAGAGGGAGCTTAATTCGCTGGAGCTGTCAATCTGGTAGTTTTCGAGCACTGAAAGAAAACTCCTGTAAATGTGTGCATAAGTGTATGTGAGGGAGGAAAGGGAAAAAGAAACTAAGAAGTCTACTATTTTGATGAAAGGCTGATGGCAAAAAAAAAAAAAAAAAAGTACTTGTAGTTGCTGACCTGCACCCTGTATCTGGCAGAAAAAAGGAAAGCACGAGAGAAAAAGAGGAGAAGTATTGTTGCCAGCACGTTGGGTTAGAGCACTACGTGCTGTGCACAGAGTGTGTGATGATCACATTGAGCAGCACCCTTTGTCACTCAGTAGAAGTTTTCTTTTTCAAAACTGCCACATTTTAAAGCTGGTTTAATCTATGGAGAAAAAACAGTTTGTGCTGTGCCTTTAGCTGTTCCTGGTTGTGTGGACTGCAAGTGGGAGCTGGGGCTATAGCAGGAAGGAAATCTATTTGCAGGTGGAAAAGTGCTGGATGGGATTATAGTTTGACTTTGGGGCTTGACATTTTGGTGTAACCTTTTGTTCTGTCTCAAGGAATAGATCAAAGTCCAGGGACTCTATCCAGGCTGGAGTGAATTTTGAAGAGAGTAGGGTTTTTTGACCTTTTTCCTGGCCTTTATAGAACAAAAATTTTCGCACACTTTGAGGAATAGACAGTAGAGGCTTGCTGCTAGATAGGGGGTTGAAGCTCCGTTTTCTTTTTCTTTCTCTTTCTGATGCTATTTTAGGCCCTCAGTTTTCAGCGTCTGGGAGAACTTGTGCTTTGAATTTTATTTTATTCACAATTCAGTAGAGGGATAAATCTTTGGTCATAGACATCCCCAAGTTTAAAGTGCTTTTTTGGGGGCTGACTTTGTTTCATAGAACAGTCTAGCTAGTTATCCTTCTGATTCCTTTGTTAGTGCAATGTGACCGTAGATTTACTCTTTATGTACGTTACAGGGCAGTGGTCTTCATGACTGTGTTGCTCACTAGTGATGGATTGCCTCTTCTCAAATGGCATTGCACCTCAAGGTAGAGCCTTCTTGTGGATCAGAACTTGCTTCTTTTGCAGTAAAAGCAGTGGATCTTACTATGGTTTAAATGTAATCTAAAGCCCCTGTTTGCTGTCTTTTCCTTCAAGTATGTAACAGGTTATTGCTGGTTCTGGGTATTGTAATCAGACCATGTGGACCTTTCACATGTGAGCTCGTGTCCCCTCAGAAGGCTCTGGAAAGTAGAGAAGACTTAACTTGGTTGATGCTGGTCAGTTGCTGTGTTTAATTGTGAATGTTTCTAAGGAACTGGTGTGATGCAAGAGCTCGTTTGAGTCAAGTAGGAGTCTGACATTTGGAGCCCAAAATGATGTGGGAAGGAGCCAGAAGTGATTAAATGAGAAGATCTTTGGGGAGTTTTGTCTTTTTTCTCTAAAATAAGCTCAGGTCCATAGTACTGAGTTACGGTTGCAGCAGACTGTCACTTCCAGGTGTGCTGTGCCAACCACCAGCTTTCCTAGTGAAACTTTCTTCTCATTTTTTGTGCTACTGTGTTAAGCAGTTTCCTGATCCGCATGGTGCTGCATCTTGGCTCACAATAGGTATTGTTTGGGTGGGGGCTGGCACAGTGTTTTCGTGCTGTGATTTGATCTCTCGTTTGTCTTGAATAATCTATTAAAATGCAATGCTTAATCCCGTTCCTTTTTGGCAGGTTTTCCTCTAGTATTGTTGCAGCAGTAATGAAACAATGTAATTGCAAGAGATCACTGAAGAAAAACAATATTTTGGGATGTTTCTTTTGTGTCTTTGGCTATAGAACAGAGAGAACACCCACACTAGAGGCAGAGTAGGTTGGACCTTCAGTCTGCTGTGGCTGTTCGTGTGTTAACAAAGAACTTCCCTTATTTTCCCTGGTTCCTGGTTTCTTCTGTTTGCCATTGTGAGAAAGGTCTGTAGAACCAGACAAGAGAACTTTCTTCAAACAGGAAAATGTGTTTCTGAAGCCACAGAACAGGGGTAGAGCATTTACTACAGCTCATGTGTATTTTTAAAGTTACTTTTCTTTGTCTGTCAGTTTTGGTACCAGTGGACTGTAGAAGAACGTGTTTCCTCCCTGCCCCCTACCCCAAATTACAATAACTGCAATTAGGAGACCTTAATTAAAATGCTTGGTTCATAGCTTGGGCAAGGAATTTGGAAACAAAGTCATTTATTCTAAGGCAGCTTTACCACAGATTTCTTCTTGGGCAAAGCTGTTTCCTGATGTGTAAGATCAAGGTCTCTAAATCTGTTGTTCTGTAGATGAGTTAGATGGGGGTCAAGTTCTTTGTACTAGTGCTAATTCCTAAAATACTAATCCTTGCATACGAATTAGGCTGATAATCAAAAAAAGCTCCTACTCGTTAAGGTGCTGGATTTTCTTGACTTTGGTGAGAGCAGAGCATATTTGCAGACCTCGGTGTGATCCAGCTCCCTCTGAAGCTGTTGGAAATCTCTGTAGCTGGATTTCTTGGGAACTGGATATATCTGGTGTTCACATTTAATATGTTTTTTTTAATGGATGTGAGTTGTGTTAACAAGTTTGGTGGCAGACCTGGGACCAGTGCATGGACCTCTTGGTGGTTGGTTCTTGCTTTGTTGCACTGTAACTACTGAGAGCGGGCACTTAAAAGATGTAATGGCTTGATAACAACGGTTGATGGCCAAGAATCAAAAGCGTGGTAGGTAGTAATTAAAACATGCAACTACGATGCCATTTAAAGTGCTCCGAGTGCCTACTTGGCCCAAGGAAGTATCCGGTAGCATAATTTGAAATGTTTTTGTAGGACTAAGTATAGTATTTGAGTTTCCTGTTACTTGTTAGTGCTGCTGCCACCTTTTCTTATGTTGACTGAAATGTGGGTGTGAAAGCTCCCTGTAAGAATAGATTTTTAGCACATTTACTGCTGCTGGTAGTGAAACCTGAAACACAAAATGTTTGTTTCTAGAAAATGCACATGGTCCATGTAAAATCTCTCTGTTCCTTCTCTCATTAAATTGAAGTAGATTGCCAGTTGTTTGGGGCTGATCCAGGCAGAATGGAGCAGCCTAGCAGTGCTGCTAATATTACAGTAAAAGAGGGCTTGTGCTGGAGAATGTTTTTGCTTAAATATTTTTCGGTCTTTAAAACAGTAATGTCTGGGGGGCACAGGACTATTTTCAGCAGCCACTTTGGCTTTGAGGAGACAATTGTTAGAGCCTTCTATAAGAACAGGGATGAAGGTTCTGTTTCAGTAAAGCTTGACCTCCTTTTGAGCA